GGAAATCTAAGGCAATCTGTTTCCAAAACCACATGGGTCAGTGGATGTAGGCTGCTCTGCTTTGCTTCTGGAGTCTGCACTGCATCAGCCAAAGTGAGGGACGATTTTGTCATAATTTCTAATTATACGACCCCACAATTGAAGCCTCATGACTCCAACAAAGTACCATTATTTCCCCAGTTGGATTGGTTTCTCATCAGACTCTTTACAAAGAAGCATGGTAGCCCTGGAGGATGTGGAGAGGCATTTGAAACTTCCTAATTATTACCCCACATGTGCAAGTAGTAAGGCATTAATGAAACAGAAGAGCATAAGCTTGCTCAGGAATAAAAGACTAATAGGGATGCATATTTGTCCTGAGGCAAAAGTGTAGCTGATTGTTCCAGGAGTGAGCCAAGAATTGGAAGAATATTTTAGTTATTTCAGAATGGCAGACATATTGTGTGGGGTTGGGAAAAGGTTTGCAGAGGCTAATATAGTGCTGGGGAATACATTAAGCTAACTGAAGTTGACAGTATTATCCTTGTATTGGCACTAAATTCCATTCCTAAAGAGGAGTCTATTATAGATTAGCGTTGGAGATGTGGCATTTATTTGCTTGGCGGTGAAGATACAGATTTTGCATCAGGGTCTGTTGGGATTGTTGATGTTGGGATAGTGGGTGGTGGGTAATAGTACTATATGTTGGTTTCTAAAATTTCCATGGTTACAAAAATTTTTGATGGTAGGATTGGATGTTGGACCACATACCCGATAATTAGTTCTGTTGACTATAGCTGCAGTAGCATGAGAGAGTCAGATAATAGAATTGGGTGGTGATTGTACTTGAAGGACCATTGAGGCACAGATGAATCCTTGGATTGGTCAAAGAATAAATGGACCAAGCAACAACTGGCATGCTAGCTGATACACTAAAGGGTCAGTTAAATATCTGCAAACTCACTATTTTTCAGGAGGTACAAGGATGTGTTGAATGAGAATAAGGAGTTTGAAAACCTCCGAGCATTTATTGAACTCGGCCATTGGATAATTTGGACAGAGAAATTATTATAAAATATGATAACCTGTCTGGGATTTGGGGACAGAGTTGTTCAGATAAACATAAGCATTGAAGGACTCATTACTGGTGTCTCTTCCATGGCACTGATATGAACTGGCAGCATGTAGCTCAAGGGGAAATATCTAAATTGACCTTAGGAGGATATAAAGTAGGGAGTCGGGGGCAAAACCAGATTTAGTGATCATAGAATTATCTTAGAAAGTCAGAGAGACATCACAGAGTGTATCAAAATTGTATAACCTTAAGATAGGACAAAAGGAGCAATATGGTGAAATGATAAAAACAAAATCACACAAGGGAGAGTGTGAGAAGCAGTATCATCAGGCATCTGACAAAATCTCATCCTATCAGTCTTGAGCAGAATCTATCTACTGTGGGTAACATCTGCTTGTTCTGAGGGACTTGAAATAGTCATCTATTTTTAAAGGTCACCTGCTTCTGAAGATTTTTATTTTTTAGAAAACCTCTATTTAAGATCTCCAGTGAGAGTATTTTTCAACACATCTTCAGCCAGTAATTTAGCTTCTATGGGCATCTTTTTCCTCAGAGGTCCACCTCACAATTTAACTGCAAGGTCAGTTGTTAGAGGCTCTGAAAAAGACCTTCACTGGTGTATTTTTCAGTGTACTCATTCTTCAGGTAGAAAGAGGGGAGGGCTTCTGAGGGTGGGATTTTAGGAAAGTCTTCTTGAACTTACAGATAAGCTGGTTCTTACAATAATTTTTTAATGTCTGCGTGAAGCAAGATTGACTCAGATTGATGAAATACTTGTGATCACATGAATCTTCTAGTTATTATTTCATAAAGTGAATAGTCTATGAGTTACTGAGGGAGCTAACCAGATCTGCTGACCATCAGAGATAAAGGTAAAATTCTTCATCAAGGAACTCTGAGAGCCTCAGAGAACTGGGCCAACTTAAGATCAATAATACTCCTTTTATGCTCTACATTTCCCAAAATTATGGATTGTGAAATTTTTTAGCCAAGGGCTAACATATTATATAATTCTTTTTAACTCTCATAGTGTAAGGTGACATTCCCCACGTGGGAAAATTAGAGTCTACAATTCCTTAGACGGAGTCATAGCAGGGATCTTTCTGTGCAGAAAGGCTCAAACCCATCCAAAGAATGTAAAATTACAAGCACATATTCTGAACTTTGTGATTTGGGCCCAGTCCACGTATATTCCAGAGACTGACATCCCACTTGTCCAATGTTTCTGGATATGGTAGCAGGATGTGAGGCAGGAACCAGCCACGTCACCAGCTACAGAGACATTTTCCCATCGCTTCTTATTCAGAGATTATTTCCTCTCTTCTATGATGGTGATGTTTTACCTATGATAAAATATTTTTGTCAAAGACCATCTTAGATTCAGGGGCATATTTGGTATTCCAGAGAACACTGGAAAGAACAGAGCTTCCCAATTTTAGGCAACATTTGTTTTCTAAATCGGAAGCTAAATTTTATATTTCCAAACTGAATTGGGTGTATGTGCTTATTGATTTCCCATATTCTGAATTATATCTATGGACAATGACAAAAATGCCACCTGATTTGCATAACGATCTGCCAACACAGTTCCCTTTGCTTTGTGGAGATTTTTACTTTATTAGAAAAATTAAAAATCCATTGTCTAAAATATTCCATGAATCTCCAAAGTTTCTCAATTATAATTTAGTGTTTTGTCTTGCAGGTTGCCGAATCAATTTAAGATTCTCATTAGACAGGGTCCATTCTTTAGTAGAGCAGTCATGTTCCAAATAATGTACTGCATTTTTAAAGAATTGTAATTTTTTCCTTTGCAGCCTGGTGATCTTCAGCTGCTAGTTTCTGCTAGTCTTCTTAGGGGCTTTTTAGGTCAGGTGAAAATAAGCATCTTGGAGGAGAATTGAACCTTTTGTGAATGTTGTATTTTAAATCATTTACTAGTATTGGAAGAAATATCAGGTGCCTCTGTGAATCCTTGAGACATTCCATGCAATTATGTGGTTAATTATTTGAAGAGAAGGCAAATAAATATTGATTTTTTTTTTTTTTGTCTACCAGACACTAAAAGAAGGGAGCATAGAGGTCTACATCTGTAAAGCACTTGCATTCAGGTGGAACTGTAGATAGAACAGTATTAGGATTGGTTGCAACTAGAAACCTAGGAATAATTTTCTTATTCATGATCTTCAGTCTTTAACAAATCTGCATCCCCTTCCTTTAGGCTTCATGACAAGCAATATGGGATATTACAGGTACTAATACAAGGAATTATTGTAACTAGGAGGTCATAATTGACTTTATTCTGTGAAAAACTTCTGGCTTTAAGGAAGTAGTCTGGGCAATGGCATGGAAGACCTAACTGAATCTTTATAGAACCTACTTTCCATAATACACTCCACATTCACAGAACGTCTAACTCACAAGCGGTCAGATCAAATAAGGGTAAGCCTTCTATAGTTTCAAGAGTCATTATTTGGTAAGTTCAGGAAAGTCACATGTAGCATGATTGTGAAACTGACTTTCTAGCAGTTCCTCTGGAATTTCCAAGAGTAACCCTTCAAGTACACTCAGTCTCACAGTTCTTTTTCCATGAAAGATATCTTCCAAGTAGGTTGGCAGGTACGTAATCACAAAGGTACATGAATGTGCTTCCTCCAATGGCCTAATATGTAGACAAAAGCTGAGACATGGGGCAGAAGTAGATCAACTCAAAGTATCCCCAACAGTAACAGTCATTACTCCAAGAGACCAGGTGCATTTTATTACAGCAGGGTTCAAGGCAGAATAGCATTTCTATCCAGTAAAAATATGCATTTTTATTCTCCTGTGTCTGTAGATTATTATTCTTGTTCTGAAAGTGGTATCAGATACAATAGCCGCCTAAGAAATAAAAAATCAGAGCTTAGTGGCTGGGCACTGTGGCACACACCTATAATCCCAGCATTTTGGGAGTCTGAGGCTGGTGGGTCAAGAGTTCAAGACCAGCCTGGCCAACGTGGTGAAACCCCGTCTCTACTAAAAATACAAAAATTAGTTGGGCATGGTGATGCGTGGTGGCGAACACCTATAATCTCAGCTACTCAGGAGGCTGAGGCAGGAGAATCGCTTGAACCTGGAAGGTGGAGGTTACAATGAGCTGAGATCATGCCACTGCATTCCATCCTGGACAACAGAGCAAGACTCTGTCTCAAAAAAAAAAAAAAAGAAAAAGAAAGAAAATCAGAGCTTAGTGTATTGCTTGCCAAGCAAAGCAGATCCACATCTCTTAAGGGAGGAGCTTCATGGAACAAAGCTGGATATGATGACAAAGCAGCTTTGTCTTAGTGAGGTAAAAGTCAGGTGTTAGTCTCTGGCCAGCTCTGAAGCAGTTTGTAAAGTCTCTCTTGGGAGAGGCTATTTTTTGACACTGTATCATCAGCCCTAAAAGCGTGATCCCCAGGCAGGTCCAAGACACACTGTACCATGTCTTGGCAAGCTCTGAGTCACCCAGTGGGCAAAACCACGTAGGCTTTTTCTTTCACACACAGGCAAATAAAAAGCAATCATGATTCCATGTAAAAAAAAAATATATTTTTGTGCAAGAAATAAATGCAAAATATATTTCTGCAAGACTACTCAGCAGACTCCTAACAGAGGCTGCCTCTCTAGAAGGGCCTGGGTGGCAATCAAGGGGTTTGTTTTGTATCTGCTGTTTAACCTCCCACATAGTAAATGCATAATAAATATTCATTAAGTGAATGCATAAATGAATGAAAAAATGCACTAATGAATGAAAATGTATTTATTGATGGAGTAAAACACTAACAACAGTACTTAGGGCAAGTCGGAGTTAAGTAGTAATGAACTGCACAAACAGGTCATGTAAGAAGCTTAGCAGTTGCTAGGGGAGATTGAGGGTCAAGGGAGGTATGGGGGGCTTTTATTTCTTACCTTATATTTTGTTTTCCAGGGTTTCCTCATACCTTGACATGTTCCCTCAATAATACTTCTTTGGTCCCCATGACTTTCAAACTGCGTGTCCCTGGGGATGGCCTTGGCCGTAAAAGCATTTCATGTTGTGAGCAGCATGCAGACTACAAAAGACCATCTTGGACCAAGGAAGAAACATCCTCAGTGAAACCAAAAGAATTCACCATCACGCCCGACTGTGGCACTATTCGCCCCCAGGGATTTGCTGCTATCAGGGTAAAGTGCATGGCCTTCCTCCACACACAGCCAAGCAGCTGAACCTTGAAAACAGCCACTGATCTGTCATCTAGAATTTGCTCTAGCATGTCCAGTGCCAGCAGGAGGGGGTGGCTGTCAACTTACAGGAAAAAGTGGGCCTATAAGGAAGTAAATCAGACACAAATACATTGGGCAAAGAAATGGGCACTGCTCCAGTAGCTTTACCTTAATCTAGAAGCATTGCCTTTACCAGAAGAGTGAGTTCTCGGTATTTCTAGTGAAACCACTGATACCCAGACAGTACACCCATCGGTACTAATAGAAACAGATTTCAGAACTTATTGATACTTAGGTTTATCTTTCCTTCAGATTCAGATCCTTTAGATGCCAATAAATAGCCACACTTACACCAAAGATGATATCCAGTTTATTCAGCTTTGTAATCTGAATCTGGGCTTCATGGTGGGTGTGATAGCACTAACAGTTCCTTATCTTGAGTTCTGCTGGAAAAGCCATGAGAAGTCAGCTTCCTCATTCTTCCATGTTTTGTCTGCAATCAGGACACTTCAGTGCCTTGGTTATGGCCTCGCAGTGCCACCAGTGGAGTTATTTCACCCTTCACCGTCTTCCCTCTTAGCTGTCTTCCTTCATTTTTGCTCCTCCAAACAGTTTGGTCTAGCAATATTTAAGGCTACTAAATTGACCTGTTTTTTGTTGTTGTTGTTTTGTTTTGTTTACTTTCTGGGAAATTAAAAAAAGTTGAGACTTCGTAGCTAAAGCTAGCAGTTTTCTCTTTGGTCATTAGCACTGAATATTTAAACCGGCTGTCATTTTATCCCCCAAATTTGTTGTAAATGCCTCATGATACCTCAGCTTGAATCCACTCATCCTGAAGCTTTTCTAGGAGCTTTTGGCTCCTCCATGGGCCCAGTGAGGCTCAATAACACAGATCGTAACGTCTCAGGACTGCTAACTGTGGCTTTCCTAGTGGGAAGCGCTGCTGCACTAGCGTTCTTTCCTTCTCACTTCGTAATACTCAGAGTATGTGTTACTTACCTTTTCTGTTGTTGTTGCTTCCCAGATATCTCAGGAAGATTAAAAGAAACAGTGTCTCACTAGCAGCCTTCTGCCAAAACCACTCGTTCTTCCTTCTAGCCACAGCCCAGATACATAAACAGGGGACTACAGTCACACTGGGATTCTCCGTTTCCTTCCAAATCAATGACTTAATCTTCACTTTATTTTTCCTTTATATTTGGAAAAGCTTTCTCCAAGCCATAGTTTTTTCCTCCTGATCTGTACCTCACCAGGTCTGTGTGGACTCGAATTTGCATCCAGTGATCCCTCTGTAACAGAAAACATGTTAATTAGTACCAGATACATATTTTATGGATAGAAAAGCCTTCACCCATGCCAGAAGCCCTGTTCTAGACTTGCAAGTATCTCTTCCAGCACAAATAATTTTGAAGCAATTAAAAATTGCAACAAGGCTTTGCAAAGTCTAATTCTACAGCTTCAAAGCAAATAAAAACACAGGGTAAAATGTTCTGAGCACCCCCTCAGCAGCCTCCCTTGACCCTCAGTCTTCCCTAGCAGCTGCTAAACTTCTTGAATGAATCGTCCATGCTATTCATTACTACTTAACTCCAACTTGCTAGAATTGGAACCTAAGTAGCAATGAGTTCTGAAATCTGTTTATATTCTGACCACGTTCTGTTGTCCTCAAATAGACCTTTCTTTGGCAGTTTCTATTTTCTGCTCTAATAAAGACTGGGGTGGTAGGGGCACGGTTTTGGTAAAGCAGACTGATTTCTTACGTCATTTTTTGGAACTGACATGGTTATTTCCACTTATTTTACTATAAGAGAACTTGTGCTATAGTGTTTCATTAGTGTGTTATATTTTCATAATTCATATAGCCCAGTGGCAGGGAACAATTTAAATTGCAGTAATTAAAGTTGGTTTAATATTGCTCATCGTTCATGCTCATTTTTCCTTTTATGCAGGTTTGTGGCTTCTTTGACAAAACGTCCTCAGAAATGAGCAAAGCCATTATACTAAAAGCCATTTGGTTTCTACCCTGGCCTTTGAAAACACTCAGCATGCCCTGACCCTACAGTGTAACTTGTTCAACTAACAATGTGAAACGCCATATATCCGTAAAGCACTTAGAAACCACACTGATCAGTAGTCCTCCCCAGGCTCTTCTCCCCTGTGTAGAGAGAGAATCTGCTTTTTAGAAAAGCAACTTGTCAACTTTTTCTTTCCAGGTGACCTTATGCTCCAACACTGTGCAGAAATATGAGTTGGCACTGGTGGTGGACGTGGAGGGCATTGGAGAAGAGGTGCTGGCACTCTTAATTACAGCAAGGTATCTCTCCCCAGCTTGCTCTTATCCGGAGCCTCCCCTGAGCCTCCAGTAACGGGCTGCCTCCCAGAAGGCAGCTTCGCCTGCCAACCCGAGCACACTGGTTTTGTCCTGCCTTCCTGGGAAGGGAATTTGAATCTGATATTCAAATGACAAAGCAGCAAATGTTTCTAATGCACCTTTGGTAGAGATAAGAAGAGGTATGTGTGTTTTGTAGAGTTTAGGCAAAGAATGCTAAGAATAGTGAAGAAACGGGTCAGACCCTCTCTAATGAGTCTGACTTTCAAAGTATGCAACCAGAAAGGTTTTAGCAGGAAGTGCTGAAGAGCTGCTGGTTTTGATTTTCGTCTTTGAATATAGTGCTCTGGAGTTAGGCAGCAGGAAGACGCTGCTGTCAGTCCTGTAGTGGAAGGTCGGTAGAGCCAAGAGGTCCCTGCCCCAGGACACTGCTGCTGTGACTTGAATTGCAGGCTAGGAGTGGGCCCCCAGATGAGATTCATTTTTAACAATGCACACGCCTCAGAACCATCTCCAAATCCTCTCTTTTTCTTAGAGAGGCAGCCAGGTTGAAATCATGACCCAGCCATTTGTTGACTGTGTCTTTTCAACCAACCTACAGCCATTGCAACAATGCTGATGAGGGTGGTGGTGTCATCGACTGACAGTGATGTGATCCTAAGTAAAATCATGAGGCCATACTCTTCCCAAAGCAAACAGTGTCCAGATCTGGGACTTTAAGGTGCATGTATGAAAATGCTATATATAGGAAATAGGGAACATGACTTAGTGAATCTGATAATCATGCTAATATGTCAATCTCTAGAATTCAGATCTCTTGTGAATCTTAGGAAGATACCCACTTTAAAGAAGAGGCAGATGTGCTGGCTGGCGGAGAGAAAACTGACACCATTTCACATGCCTTGGGCTTGGGTGAAGATAAATAACAGTGCAGAAATAACTTAGGGTTCCCACTGCGTTGCCTTGACCCACTTAGTATTCCTGCAAGACCTAATTTTTTTCTTTGTTTACAAACAGTGAAAGTCCTAATGTGTTCCCCTCTGTGCCCAGGTTTGCCTTTTAGTCTGGTCTTGCATTTCTTTCCTATGCAGACTTATTCAGATACTTTCCAGCCCCTTTCCCTACAGTTATCAATAGGAATTCTAAATTTAAAACAATAAAAAGGTCTAAAGAGGCTATGAGTTTTCTGCTTATATTCTGTGACCCAAGTCAAGTAGCGTAAGCCCTCTCAGTCACAGTATTTCAGGCGGTACAGGATCAGCTTTAAGAAAGTCACTGGGTCAACAGACAACTTCCATTCTAGCTAAAGATGAACGCTCATCTCGTGTAAACTTTGGGGTTAAAATAAAGGCTCTTTCATGTTCTGATTTTTGGCATAATCTGTAGGAACTACTCACTGACTCTTAACAGAAGAATTGCGTTTAGAACTGCAGCCTCAGTAACTCTCTCCAGAGAGCCGGCAGTGACGTCCTGCCATGCGTCTGCCACAGGCTCACTCCCTCTTACTGAGCACTTACCTGGTGCTGGGCTATGCCCTTCCAACACCCTAAGAAGAGTTTATAACACCGACATCAATCCCTAGAACTATCCTCATTTGACCTATAAGAGAAATGGGACTCTGAGACAGAAAGCAGCTTGTCCAAGGTCACACAGGTTGTACTTAGTAAGGTCAGTCTGCAAAGCTGGCTCTGCAAATTCGAAAGCCAGTACTCTTCGCCATGGCACTATACTGAAACAATGGCATAGGGCAAGTAGACCTTGAGATTCACAGACAGCAAATAAAATCCAGGTTGCCCAATAGTATACTAACAGCAAACACAGGGCTTCAACTCCTCTCTTTCCTGCATATAGCCCTCCCTCCCTTTCCTTACACCTCACCCCCTCCATATCAGCACACTGAGAACCCCATCACAGTCACAGTGCCAGTTCTGGGCAGAGCAGCCACCTGAGCCTCTGTATCCAAGACAGCTGTTCTGCATAAGAATTGGCATTTTTACTGTTATTTAGGTGGTATGAACTGTCCGTAGTCCTTGGGGGCCTTTCTGACTGGTCCAAAGTGTCACAGCTAGTTAGGACCCCATGCTGGTGGCATTGGCCCTGTTTAGCATGGAAACAGATTCACTGCCCTAAGGATCCTGTACCGTGTGGACCCCTTGCCCAAGGAAGGCCAAATATCTAAAACAATAGAAATAGGAGTCATTACCCACCAGACAGCTGTTGAAGGAATTCTGCTTCTAGTCCTTTTTTGATTAGAAAGTGGTAACTGGGGGCCAAGAGACAGGGAAGACAGGAGGAGAGAAGCTTTGAAAGTGACTAATGTGGTTATTTGAGAAAAACTACTATGTGACACTGACTAATGTATCTCACTTGGGACACTGCATTCTCTGTATGTAAACAAGCTCTCTGTTTTGAATTGTGTGATGGGCTCCTCCGAGCAGGTGTGTTGTACCTGCCCTCTACCTGGTCAGCACAGAGGTGGACTTTGGGCACTGCTTCCTGAAGTACCCATACAAGAAAACACTCCAGCTTGCCAATCAAGATGACCTCCCAGGATTCTATGTGGTGCAGCCTCAGGTGAGTTCCTTTCTCTTTCTTCAGTGTTAATTCTTCCATTGGATTCCCTTGATAAGAAAGAGAAATCCCTCCAAAGTGCCACATTCCCGAACACATGACCTTAAGTAATGCTGATTTTTAACCCTTAGATAGTCTAAGGATGGGGTAATAAAGTCATAGTTGGATTGCTATCTGCATGCCTGAGCAGCAGCAGGTGTAAACTGTTGTTAATTTCCCAGGGAAATTACCCTGGATAAAGAAGGGAACGTGTCAATTAAGCCAACATGCAGAATTGCACCTGCAAATAATTGCCTGTGAACTAACCATGCATGGGAAATGAGCTAGGAGTTTTCATTATGTCCATGGCTGTGATTTGAATGGCATCAGTAAGTAATGCAATATTTATAAGTAGATTTGTTGGACCAGAAAGCTAGAGACAATACAGGAATAAGAAAGGAGGAATTGTCTCTTCATGTTTTATGAAATGTGTCTGTCCATATGTCACTACACCCAGCTAGGTGGGAGACTAAGCAGCTTAACACAGATGGCTAAACAATTTTTTAAAAATCTGTACAGATTAGAATAATGGAAGGTTACTACTGAGATGCAATTTGCCAAGAATGCATTTGGGTATAAAACTCAGTTATATAAGTACAATATTCTAATTAAAATATATGCAAAAATATCATATGGGGGGTTATTTGACTACAAGATCAATAGGAGATAAAACAGCAATATGGAGGCCACAGAAACAAGGCAGGTTTGGGCTGCAGCAGAGAACTACCGCATTCAGGTTAAGGAAGGTGATAGCTGCTAGTCAGGACACAGCCAGAAGTTTGCCTTCAGATCATGTCATTGTACTTTTCTAATGGAAACTTGAAAAAAGTAAAGCATCATGTTCGAAGTAACTAAAATGACAATCCATGGCACCTGCAAATCCAAGTCATGCATGTGTTTAATCTGGAACAGAATAGACTTAGCTAGGAGAACATAGCTACCTTTCACAAGTCATACCACTTGTAAACCTGCACAACTATGCGCAGTGGCCCTACCCTTCCACGCCATTTGTAAATGAGCTGTGATGTAAGAGAGAAGCAGAATGATTCTATGGGTTTCTCTGAGACAGAACCAGCCAAGGGTGGAAGACAAGGTCTAACACCCAGATGCTCCGCAGCAGCCAGCCCAACTCTGCACAGTGCGTGGTCATTTCAAGAACTCAGAGTGGAGCTTGCATCTGGTGTCAGGGGAAGTTGTTTGGCACAGCAGGGCTGGGCACAGGATGAGGCACTCGCCTCAGACAGAAAATTTAAGGGGAAGCCACTTAATATTTTCATGCCATATTGTAAGAAATCAAAAATAATTTCAAAAAATCCATAATGAACAAGATATCAAAACTTAGGTAAAGATAGATCAGCCTGACCTCAATCTATAAGAAGGCTCAGCAGAGCCCTGTGGCATGGGGAGGAGGAGGTAGACTGGGCCGTGTTAGACCAGACCAGATGCAGGAAGACTGTGGGGTGCTCCAGGCAGATGACACCTGCATGCTGTGTCTTCCTTCAGGGCAGCAGAGGCTCTGAGAAATATTTCCCAGAATTATACAATGGAATTTAAAAAATTTTATTTGTGTTCTTGTTGCATAAAAGCTAGTAATACGCTGCAGAACAGGGTTTTGAGAAATACAAATTGGTCAACATTGGACACTTGTCCATTCATTCATTCATTCCTCATTTTAAAAACTGAGCATATAAACTTTGGGCCAGAAAGTGGGTATGTAGAGAGGAGAGGCGCAGCTGTATGCTAAGAAGTTGTCAGCGGAACATGCAGGTAGCATGGTGCTGTCCAGTGCATGCTGTGGACAAGGACTGCACAGGATGCTCCCTGGGGAGAGAGGAAATGTTCCCATCCTAGAGCCCTGGAGGAACCAGGGGAGGATTCAGGATGAGTGTGCCAGATGGGTTGACAGGAACAGGCATTCTAGGAGGAGTCACCACAAGTGCAAAGGATTGGAGGTGGGAAGCAGCATCGTGGATTCCAGAAACACCAGTGGCCCCTATTGATGGAGCACAAAGGGTGAGGGAGTGGGGATGCCATGTGGGGGTGCAGAGGACCAAGTTAAGGAACTTGGAAAGTGGAAAGTGGACCTTTTCCTAAGGAAAGTAGAAAGCTGTTGCCCTGAACTTATTTGTGTTGCGGAAAATTCTGCATGTTGCTGTGTTGGGCACTTTGAATTTTGGGCCTCATGTATGCCCCACTTAACCAGATTTCCTTTTGGCTGAGTTGGGGTACTCATTCCCCATTTACTTGCTTGAATAATAAGACATTTCTAAAGGACCTCTATGGACTCAGGAAAACACTGCAAAATAAGTGAATATGCTATTCGTTCCACGCTATGCTGTCCTGACCCCTCTGGTTTTCTCTCCGCCAGGTGTGTGAGGATCTGCCTGCTGTGCTGCTTTCCAGCCCCACCCCTAGCGGGGTCATCCCCCCTAGCAGCACCATCCACATACCACTGGCCCTGGAGACCCAGGTCACTGGAAGACACAGGTCCACAGTTTACATCTCGATCTTTGGGAGCCAGGACCCCCCTTTGGTGAGAGCCCATTTCCAGAACTGCACTTGAAATTGCTGTGCGGCTTCTCAAACATTTTGCACTTTCTCACTTAAGGTCCACACTGTATGCACATGTGCCCCAGTTGTAGAGTTTTATGTTTTTTCTCTGTGATCGTAAAATACCAGTGCTATGTGACTTTAAGGAATCTCTTTATGGCTACATCTAACAGAAGTGGTATTTTATAGCATTTGTCCTTAAACCCAACAGGGTACCAGGAGTTTCTCACACACACGTGTGTACACACACACACCGTCACACATGCCTGACCCCTGTCCAGTCTTTTTAAATCAGAATCTCCAACGGGAGGGAACCAGCACATCTGTATGGGACCCAGCACATCTGTATGTTTAACAAGCCCCTTAGTTGTTCCTAGTGCAAAGCTGGGTTTGGGTATCACTAGTTTGTCACATGTGGGCTGGGAGATCAGTTTCCCACTGCTCATCTCAACTTTTTTTGTGTATTGACTTGACTCATACCCCATATTAGCCTAGTCAAGCTGTTAAGAGAAATAGTCCCTCTCCAAGACAAAGAAGGATTCATGAAAAGCCCTCCACTGCTTAAGCTAAGTTGAAGGATAAACACTGAATTCTACAGGAGGTTGCCCAACAGGCTCTGTGTTCTTAGATACGTGGTTTACTTGGGAACTAGTGATGTCAGCTTATGTTTCTTTGATGTGACTCTGATTGCTTAGAGTACAAAAACACTAGGATTTTGCTTTTATCTCTTTCATGTAAGATGCTGTAGATAAGCCACTTAACTTATAAAGCAGCATCACCAGGGTAGACCAACCCCAAAACATGCCACCAGTTCACATCCCCATCCCCAAGGCTCATGTGCCCCACCCCACTCCCAGCCCCCTCCACAGATGCAACCCATGAGAGGATAGCTTGCTGAGCAGGCAGAACTTTATGAAAGAAAAGGGCCATCTTCCACAGGCTGACACAGTGCCTGGCTCAGGGTACAAGGAGAAGAGAGCAAAGCAAAGTGCATTTCAGTCCCCAACCTGTACAACTATGTGCAGTGGCCCTGCCCTGCCACACCACTTGTAAAGCGGCAGAACTGGAACGCAAACCCAGCTACATCTGACTTTGAAGTACTGACCCTTAACCCGGTATTAAGTGTTCTTGAGGCTGGAGTGCTGTGTGGGATATAAGGGACCCAGATTCTGGTTTCCACTCAATGCATGGCTCTGGGATTACTTGGGAAGCTGCTCATCCTTTCTAGGGAAGAAGTCCAGCCTGGAGACTGTGTTCCTGAGACCACAGAACACTAGTGACAAGGGATGCCCGTTCTCATAAGCACCCTCTTACACCCTTGCTTTTTACCAAAGGAATGGCTTAAAGTGGCTATTTCCAATTGTTCCTGTGTTCTTTCTCTCTGGTGGAACTCAGGTATGTCACTTAAAGAGCATTGGAGAAGGCCCAGTTATCTACATCCATCCCAGTCAAGTGGACTTTGGCAGTATCTATGTCCTACAAGACTCTTCCAGGATTCTCAACCTATGCAACCAGTCCTTCATTGCCGCATTTTTCCGGGCACACATGGTAAGTTATGGGACTGTCATATGATGAAACACAACTTTGGCTTATAGGCAGTAGCCGTATTTTTGCAACATGTCTCTGAAAATGATCACCAGAAGCAGAGATTTGCATGGTTACGTTGTATTAAACCACGACATTCCCATCCCCAAATCTTCTTTATTATAATAAATTATTAATATAATAATTTATGTATCAATAATTTTATTGATTAAGGGGTGCCTTAGCTTAAGGGATGCCTATTATACTTTTGTTGATTAATAAACACAATGTGCATATCTTTTGGTAAACAGGCAAGCACATTCAATAGAATCCCAGTTCAGAAACATGCTTCAAACGTCAACAAGCTCCCCTACCGAACTGTACCTAAGCCCAGACCCAGCCCTCAAAAAAACCACTTTTTAGATGTCTCTGTAACTAGAAGTGCTTCCTTTAATTTGACTTCTTTTCACTACAAATGTGTTGGTGTGTATATACTGTTTTTATTCTCTCTTCCTTCTAGCAATATTTTAAGGTAGTTTGTAAGGATGTATAAAATACAAGGGAGTATTCACCAAAAACAGAAATTAAACAGTAAAGGCAGATACAAAATAGATGTAAAATGGTTTTAGAAATGGATTTGTCTCATTTCTATGTACAGTTGATTGACCCTTCAACAATGTGGGGATTAGGGACACCAAACCCCCATGTAGTTGAAAATTCACATATAACTCTTTTTAAACTTTTATTTTAGTTTCAAGGGCTGCTTATGCAGGTTTGTTATATAGGTAAGTTGTATGTCAAAAGTTTTGTGTACAAATTATTTTATCACCCTGATAATAAGCATAGTATCCAATAGGTAGTTTTTCTATTTTCTCCTCCTCCCACTCTTCACCCTCAAGTAGGCCCCAGTGTCTCTTATTGTCTTCTTTGTGTGATATTTGGTTTTCTGTTCCTGCATTAATTTGCTTAGGATAATGGCCTCCAGCTCCATCCAGTTGCTGCAAAGGACATGATTTTATTTCTACACGTAGACCAATGTAACAGAACAGAGAGCCCAGATATAATGCCACACAGCCTACAACCATCTTCTCTTTGACAAAATTGACAAAACAAACAATGGGGAAGAGATTCTCTGTTCAGCAAATGGTGCTTAGAAAACTGGCTAGTCATATGCAGAAGATTGAAAGTAAACTCCTTCCTCACACCATATACAAAAATCAACTCAAGATGGATGAAAGACTTACGTGTAAAATCTAAAACTATAAAAATCCTGGAAGATAATCTAGGAGGTACCATTCTGGACACAGGCCCTGGCAAAGATTTCATGACAAAGATTGTAAAAGCAATTACAACAAAAACAAAAATTGACAAATGGATCCTAATTAAACTAAAGAGCTTTTGCACAGCAAAAGAAACATATAACTTTTGACCCCTCAAAAACTTATCTGTTAACAGCCTACCGTTGACCAGAACCCTTTCCAATAATAGTCAATTAACATATATTTTTGTATGCATCACATGATGTATTCTTACAATAAAGTAAGCTAGAGAAAAGAAATGTTATTAAGAGAATCATAAGGAAGCAAAAACATATTATTCATTAAGTGCAGGTTGATCATCATAAATATCTTCATACTCATCTTCACGTTGAGTAGGCTGAGGAGTAGAGGAAGAGAAGGAGTTGGTCTTACTGTCCCATGGGTGGCAGAGGTGGAAGAAAATCCACATATAACTGGACCCATGTAGTTCAAACCCATGTTGTTCAAGGGTCAACTATATTTCATAATGACGTTCAGACCTGCTGGTCTTCTATAAGCTAATTTTTATTTTTTTGTACAAGAACAGACATGAAATGGTGGGGGTTTTGTGGAGTTTAGGAATTTCTAACCCAGTAATTGAAAGTATTCCTGATTTTAGAACTAGTTCTCTAAATTTAAATATAAAGTTTTTAATTGTATAGCCCTCTGCCTATCCTCAAATTATTGCATTTGAATGAGAACTAACATTTAATGTCAACATTTGTGAAGTATTTCTGAAGAATCAAATATTAGTGATTTTATAAAATTTAAGAAATGTGATTTTCTGCTGACTTGTCTCTGACAGCTCATCAGAGACATTGGTCCTGTTCGCAGCCATTTATCATCATTATTTATTTTTATTCTCATTTATCTTTACTTGTTATGAAGGCAGCCACATGCACATACAGTCTCTGCTCTTTTCAACAGAGGTTCTCACACAACCCCAATCGTGCTCTAACACTTTGTGGATCTTGAGTAAAAAAATATTGTTTCATAATGTTTAAAGAAAAATCCTGTACGAAGGACATTTTCACTAGTCTTTATCCAGTTAGTAAATTGATGTGTTTGGTAGAAAGCACTGGGTATTGCTTAGGAAGTGTTGCTTCTTTGTTCAGTGCCAAGTTGATGCTGGGAGAGGAGGAGTCAATCTCTGTCCTGGTCCAGAACAGTGAGAGGAGGGCACCGGAGGGCTTGAGGAGATCCCAGAGGAAGGAGCAGGATGGCTGAGACCATCAGAAAGCCTACATGCGAATACAGCTATCTTCTCTTCTTACCATCCCTCTTTTCACTTTCAAATATCTCCAGGTTTTACTGTTTCTGGCAACTTTTGGTACATTTTTTTAAAAAAGGGACACTAAGGCTCTGTTTTTTTGTTTGTTTTTGTTGTTGTTGTTGGATTTTTTTTAACTTATGTAGTGTACATATATCGAATGACCCAGCTGGTTTGTTAAAATGGGACTTTCTCTTTTCCGTAAAGGTTTCATGATTCCATCTTCTGACTCTCTAATGTTGTCTTCGGTCAGCGAGCTCCAGTTCCAGGGAACCCAAATGTGTCATAGAAATGCTTTATTGTTGGCCAGCCACAGTGGCTCATACCTGTAATCCTAGCACTTTGGGAGGCCAAGGTGGGAGGATCACTTGAGGCCAGGAGTTTGAGACCAGCCTGGTGAACATAGTGAGACCCCATCTCTAATTTTTAAAAAAGAAAGAAAAAGAAATGCTCTACTGTAGAAGGTGTTTTTCCCCCAATCCTGTCTTAGAATACTGGTGTTTATTGAGTTGTAGCATAAAAGTGGTTTCAGGTGGGGCACGGTGGCTCACGCCTTGTAATCACAGCACTTTGGGAGGCCCAGGCAGGCAGATCACAAGGTCAGGAGTTTGCGACCAGCCTGGCCAACCTGGTGAAACCCCGTCTCTACTAAAAATACAAAAGTTAACCAGGTGTGGTGGCACAGACCTCTAATCCCAGCTACTTGGGAGGCTGAGGGAGGAGAATCACTTGAACCTGGGAGGCAGAGGTTGCAGTCAGCCGAGATTGCACCATTGCACTCCAGCCTGGGTGACAGAGCAAGACTCCATCTCAAAAAGAAAGGAAAAGAACAAAAGTGATTTCAAATTCAAGTAATTCTCATAGGAGAAAATTACTCTTATTTCAGCTAAGATTTTTGTTGAATGTCTTAGTAAATATGTATTAACATTATAAAAATTGAATTATGCTAATTTAGAAATTAACTACAGTGGAAAGAAACTTTATAAAACGCCTACATGATGTACAATACAAAACCTTAAAATGCATTCTTACAGGAATTAATAAGCATTAGCAGAGAGTTTCAATTAGTAGTTTGTTCCTCAAGCCTATTACAAATTTCAGGTGCTAGAAGTTCTCTTTTCTTGTTGGATGCAGTGACAGGAGGGGTCATTGTCTCTCCTCCTGTGACCCTGGGTGAATGTCAGCCCTTCCCAGATGTGGCACTCACTGTCAGCCATCTGTCACACTCAGCCTCTTGGGCAGCCACACAGCACAGCACCACTGTGATTAGATTCACCCTTAACAAGAAACATCTGTTTGTTATCAACCAGAGGGGTCAGGAGATGGGAAGCTGGAATCCCACCTCCACAGTGATGTTGGAAGATAAATGACACTTAGAACAGTTTTGAATTTCTCAGAAACAAATACTATACCAAAAAAAAAAAAAGACTTTTAAAAACACCTGGGACCTCTTCATGTAGTATGGAAAGAAGAAACAGTGAAGATATATTTTTTATGTTCCATTAAAACTTAATTTATCTTGAGTGTAAAAAAAGTTGATGAGTAAAGGAAGGGTGTTCTCCTTTGCTTTGAAATGCCTGTGCCTGGAATATCAGCCTCCACCAACAGTCCCCAGCAGGCTGACTTATTTGGAACAATCGAATAAGGCACCTCTGGTTTGGAAAAGTAAAAGAAAGTCAGAATGTTGGAACAGAGAATGGAAAGGTTCTATTGGCAGGAGAATGAATGTGTGTGCTGCTTGTATGCAGGGAGTTCTATCAGGAAGGGGACTTTCCCTTCCCTGTGAGCAACAGAAATAAAGGTGAGGACGCAGCAGTGCCCCAGAGCCTTAGAAACCTCAGCATTGAGCTGGAGGAAAGACGCCTTGCTTGGCACCTGTTTGGAAGCATCTGGAATCATTTCCTTTTTGCCCTTGGCTCTAATTCAGCCTTGGTGACATTCAGCTCAAACCTTGGGTCCAGTTGTCAGTAACACCTTGGGACTCAGACAGCACTGAGACATCTTTGTAGTGGCCTTCTGCCTCCATGATCTGCAGGGAAAGGCCATTGTAATGAGATACTTAGAATTCCTGGATCCATGAAACAGGAATTCTGATGCCTCATCCAAGCATGGTTCTTTTAAAACATTTATTTTTCTTTGTCTCTTGCCGCAGCCTTACACAATGATATGGCAGCAAGGGAGAATTATTGGGCTTTCACAGCTCCTTCAGTCCCTCAGCCACTGGGTTATTTCCTCGTTTAAGTAGGGACTCCTTTTCTGTATGTATTTGTTGATGTGTCTGTCTCCTTTAAATGCCAGTAGTCTCTGCACTGACGTTCCAGCACCTAGCAGCTGACTTAACCATTATGATGATGACAGTATGGTGACACTAATTCTGACTAACATCTATTTCATTCTATGTGTCACTTTTTATACAGTATTTCATTTACTACAATTCTGTGAGAAAATACTGTTAT